TCCTCACAGCCGCCTTGCCCTGTTTCTGTCCCCTTCCAGCAGCTCTTCCTGCACAGGCTCAGACTGCAGGTCTATTTTTTATCTTGAAGAGATATAAAAAATAGATGAGTTCAAGCAAATTCTTTTTAAAATAGAAACTGGGTCTGAGCAAAAGCAGTAACAGGTAGAGAAGCAGCAGCGTGATGGTCTGTCGGTGCTCTGCGGCTGGCGAGGCCTGTCCGTGGCACCGTGGGCACATCCAGTGTGTCCCCAGTGCTCCCCGCCCCGACGGCAGGGTGGCTTGGAGCAGACAAGCCCTAAGCTCTGAAATGTCTGTGCTTGTTCCAGTGTTTATGCTGAGCTGCAACTTTCCCCGGAGACCTGACTTCGGAGACGTCACGGTGATGGATCTGCACTCGGGTGGCATTGCTCATTTTCACTGTCACCTGGGCTACGAGCTGCAGGGTCCCAGGGTGCTGACGTGCATCAACGCCTCAAGGCCGCATTGGAGCAGCCCAGAGCCTATCTGCTCAGGTACACCCCTCGTTAGTGAGCCTTGGTGCTCGGAAAAACTGGGATCCCCAAAGAAAAAGAATGAGAGTTGCTTTCTTTGCACCGTGAGTTGAATGCGGTCCTGGGAAAGCATGGAAGCCATGCCCGGCTCTGCGCACGGTGCAGCCGGAGGTGCTGCGGGTTTGCACATCAGTGGCAGCAGAATCTGCCTCTGAATGAGGCAGGTGAGGGAAAGGAATTTATAGATTTTGTCTGTATGTGTGAGCATTTATGTGTGTACGTTAAACAAAGCGATGCCAAGCCAGGCAAGAGGTTCGTGCATTAAAGACTGCTGAGCAGAGCTGGGCAGGCATCAGTGGAGGGGTTCATCCCCTTTGCTGTGCAGAAGCCCCGGGTGCAAATGCCAGCCCGTACCCTTTGCCTGGCCCCGTCTCCTTGCCCGTCTCAGCGGGGCTGTGCTCTGTGTCGGCAGCTCCCTGCGGTGGGACGGTCCACAACGCCACCATCGGCCGCGTCCTCTCGCCCAGCTACACGGGGAACCAGTCGAGCAGCATGTACTGCGTGTGGGCGATCGGGGCCCCCCCGGGCCAGAAGCTGCACCTCCACTTCGAGAAGCTCCTGCTGACGGAGAAGGACAGGTAAGGCTCTGGGAGCCGCTCCCGCGCCCGGGTGCTGCTGGCTGGTGGCGAGGTCTGGGCTGCACCCCTTCCCCTGCACCCCTGGGACCACGGAGAGCTTTGCTTGGCCCGGGGTGAGGAGCTTTGCTTGGGCACTAAATATACCAAGGGCTGGGAGCTCCCAGCTGGTCTCAGCTCCCCCAGCTCACACCTCCTGCCCTCCCAGCCCCAGGGCTGTGGGTCTCCCGGGGCAGCACCCACCCCAGCTGGGGGTGCAGCATGGGGGAGGCTGCCAGCCAGAGGATGGGGGCAGAGAAAGATCCTGGTGCAGAAGAGGAGCCTCCTGATTCCAGCGCTCAAGCACTCAGGAAGCAAGACAGGTCTTGGAGCAAAAAGAGCTGTGAAAGGCAGGCACAGAGCACCCACCCCTGCCATCCCCAGGCCCTGCGCTCCATGCGGGGGACCTTGCCGGTCCCCTGATCCGGCTAGCTGCGGGGTGACACAGTGTGCTGTGTCACACCCATCCTCGCCTGCCCCCGCACGCCCAGTGCCCGGCACTGCTCATCACCATGGTGCAAGGAGCTGCAAATCCCACGCTACCCGCGTCCGTAACGCCAAGCACAGGCTGGGGCTGTGCTTGTGTTTAAACTGCATTAACAGTCGGTCTGGTAACGGGCAGTAAAGCAGGTTTGTGCCTTGCAGTAAAATCAAAGAATAAAGCCCCCGTTAATGGCACAGTAAAAGAGACTTAGCCGGCTGGCGAATTTTTGTTTGCATGATTTCTTTAAAATGCCGTATTCCGTGAGCGCTGGGGGAGGAGGAGGTGATGCTCGGGGCAGGGGGGCATGGGGACGCTTGTCCCACGTAACGTGCCATGTCCTCCCGTGCAGGATGGTGGTGTACAGCGGGGACACGAACCAGTCCGCCGTCCTCTACGACTCGCTGCGTGCCGACAGCGTGCCCTTCGAAGGCGTGATCAGTGACGGCTCCTCCATCAGGATCGACTTCCTCGCGGAGGAGCCGGCGGCCGCCACGGCTTTCAACATACGCTTCGAAGGTGATGTGCTCCCCTTTCGGTACCCCGGAGAGCAGCGGGCCGGCCTCAGCCGGCACTCCCAGGCCTCGGGACGTTCAGGCAATTAACAGAGATACGGCTGTAGGCAGGGGCTCAGCCGGCACCCGCAGACCCGGTGCTCTGCCGTGCCACTTGTCCTCGTGCCGCTGTAGGCACACGGGGCAACCCAAACCTCAGCTGGTGCTGGAGTAGCTTTGGGGAATAGGTTTGCCTAGATAGAAATTTTAAAGAAACAGCGAAATTGCATTTACTCCAACAGAAAGTTTCGTTGGCAAGCTGAGAGGCCATGGGACACATCTGTGCCTGCCCCGGGGCAGCGGGTGCCGTGTCCAGGATGGGGCCCTTCCATGGGATGAAAAGGCCATCGGTGCCGTGGGAATCACACAGCCTGCGGCGACCGTCACCAGCCCAGTCTGTCGCCTTCCCTCGGTCCCCGTGGCACGGCACTGCTGGGCACCGAACCCACACTGGCCGCAGGGTCGGGGGCTGCCCCTGCTCCCGCCCTCGCTGCAGCGCTTGCTCCCCGGCTGCCTTCCTCTTGACCCGGCCCGCGGCTCCTCCGGGGACGGGGTGCTGGGCAAGCCCCAGGCAGCTCACAGAGATTTGCTCCAGTTGCCATTTGAGTGCATCCTGCTGCCGGGATCAGTCCTGCGGGAGCCCCGCGCCTCTGAGCAAGCTCAGTAACGCAGAGTAATCCTAGGGCGGATTGCTCAGCACCTACAGCAACTGGCAACCCAGCGAGCGCGTTACTGATGCTGATACACAATGGAAGTGGGGTTTGGATAAGCCCGCGTGGCTCAGGACAGATAAACCCGGGGGAGGGGTGGAGGGGCAAGCCCCAGGCAGCTCACAGAGATTTGCTCCAGTTGCCATTTGAGTGCATCCTGCTGCCGGGATCAGTCCTGCGGGAGCCCCGCGCCTCTGAGCAAGCTCAGTAACGCAGAGGGATTGCTCAGCACCTACAGCAACTGGCAACCCAGCGAGCGCGTTACTGATGCTGGTACACAATGGAAGTGGGGTTTGGATAAGCCCGCGTGGCTCAGGACAGATAAACTGTTGTTAATCCTAATTGCCTGTAAAATACACCGTGGAAGAGGCCATCCGTGCGCGCCGGGGATGGAGGGATGGGTTTCTAGCTGGGGATGGCAGCAGAGCCCAGAGCTCATCTAGCAAAGCCCCGGAGCTGAGGGTGTGAGGAGCAGGGGAGGGCAGCGCCCCCCCAGCCAGCTCCGTGCCCCTACGGCTAACGGGGGGGTTCTCTTCCAGCCTTTGAGCGGGGCCACTGCTACGAGCCCTACATCCAGAACGGGAACTTCACCACCTCCGACCCCACCTACAACCTGGGCACCACCGTGGAGTTCACGTGCGACCCCGGGCACTCCCTGGAGCAGGGTCCCGCTGTCATCGAGTGCGTCAACATGCGGGATCCCTACTGGAATGACACGGAGCCGCTGTGCCGAGGTCAGTCCCCGCGCCGTGGGGCGATGCTGGGCGGCGGGCGCGAACACCCCTGGGACCCTGGCTGAGCTCTGCTTGCCTCTTGCTCCCGCAGCCATGTGCGGGGGGGAGCTGACTGCTGTGGCCGGGGTGATCCTGTCCCCCAACTGGCCGGAGCCCTACGCGGAGGGCGAGGACTGCATCTGGAGGGTCCACGTCGGCGAGGAGAAGCGGCTCTTCCTGGACATCCAGCTGTGAGTAGTCCGGACCTCGGCGCGCGTCTCTGCCCTGCCGGTGCTCAGCCCACTTCACTGCAGTATCCCTGCTCCCCCCGCCCCAGGGGCCAGCACCGTTTCCCTGTTCTCCCTCTCAGAGCTTTCCTAATCCCGTGTGATGTACTAGGCACCCAGGGGGGGTCCAGGGCAGCACCCAGTGCTGCTCCCTGTGTTCAAAGCGCTGTTACACCACCCACTGTAGTAGTTAGCTGCGCCCAAGGCAGGTTCCAAACTCCTCCAGAGCAAAGCCGCAGGGAGCGATGCCACAGCAGCACGCAGCCACAGGCAGCTCAGTGACACGCAGCACCGTCACGAGCTGGTTCATATGGGGCTGGGAGAGCCTGGGGACATCCATGAGCTGGAAACCTCAGCTCTGTCTCCAGGCTGAATGTGGTACCGGCACTAAGGGAAGGCGAGGGGCAGGGGGAGGCTTTGCCCAGCCCTCCTTCCTGTGCCCTGCCTTCTTTCCCTTGTGGGACCAACATGACTTTGCAAAAATGCATTGGTTCCCCTCCCGGCTGCCAACCACATGGCTCAGAAAGCCGCAGGGAGCGGAGGCAGAGCTGCCCAGCAAGCCCCGGCTGCACCGTCCGGGCACGGGCAGGCACGGCAACGCTCACTGCACATGCCAGGGGTTTGGGGGGTTCGGGCTGCAACGCCAGGCTGGGAGCCCTTGGCATGATCACGCTGCCGATGCAAAGGGAATCTCCTTCGATGCTATTTTGGCTTTTCAAGAGGAGGGCGTGTTTCACGCAGGAGCTTAGAGTCGCAGAGCCTGTGAAGCTTTCTGTTAAATCACAAGTCGGAGCTCCCAGTGCACCTCTCCCAGCTTTGCGGGTGCTTGGGCTGAGCAGAACTGGAGGCCAAGCGATTTGAAGTCATCAGACATAAATGTCACTGAGAAAATCATGTTTGACAGAGAGCAGAGATTTACTACAAATGTCAGCTTGCCATGGGGATTAGCTGGGCGCCTTCCAAGAACGTTCTTAATAAAACCTTTGGGGATCATCTCAGGCGTCTGCAAACACGGCTGGATGGGGTGGGCCGATGTGCAGGGAGGGGTCCCACAGTGCCCGAGCATGTCCCGGGCCCACAGGTCTTGTGCACGCACAGCCGGCCTCATCCTGCCCCAGTGCGGGAGTCCGGGCTTCACTGGGAAAGTTACTTCAGCCTCAGACCTGATGGAGACTCCTCCTGCGGGGCCGGGAGCATTCTGGGGCTCTCCCCCTGCCCCTCTCCCCCATGGG